CTTATGAGGACTAAAAAACGCTTAAAAACAACATTCAAATCTTATATTATTCCTCTACAACCAAATAATCATGAAACTTTGGAGTCTTTTATGAAGTCATTTAATTCTCGGCACTACTTTTATTCATAAATAAAAACATTCATACTATAAAAGCTATAAAATACTTCTTATTTAAAAAATCTTAACTCCAAAATATGTTTAAACAAAAATAAAATATGAGCTTTAAACACAGACATGATTTTTTTTTATCCATAACTTTTGTATTGGGGATTGAACCTAGGGATGCTTTACCACTGAGCTACATTTCCAGTCCATTTTACTTTCTTGTTCTGAAACAAGATCTCAATAAGATTGACCAGGCTAGCCTCAAAACATGCAATTTTCCTGCCTCAGCCTCCCAAATCACTGGGATTAGAGGTATATACCACTGTGCCTGGCTTCCATAACTCTTTAATGATAAAAAACATAACAACTCTTAAAGCTCAATTTTAGATTATGTATGTAGAGTTTAAAAATAAAAATGTCAAAGAACCAATAATCTAGAGTAAATTTAGATTTATATATCTTTTAATTAATCATTGTCTGTTTCTTCATATCCCAAATTTTTTTTCTTTTTTATAGTAGTGGGGATTGAACCTAGAGTCTTTGCATGCTAGGCAAATACTCTACCACTAAGCTACACCTCAGCCCCATATTCTGAATTTCTTTTTCCTCTTAGTAACAAAATTAGAATAGTGAGTGCATTTGGCAAAGCATAATTTTTTAAATGTCAGCATAAATACTTTCTTGAATAGATAATGATCACAGCTTATTAAAATGAGCAGAATGCCAGGCACAGTGGCACACACCTGTAATTCCAGTGGCTCAGGAGGCTGAGGCAGGAAGATTGCAAGTTCAAAGCCAGCCTCAGCAAAAGTGAGGCACTAAGCAACTCAATGAGACCCTATCTCTAAATAAAATACAAAATAGGGCTGGGAATGTGGCTCAGTGGCCAAATGCTCCTGAGTTCAATACCTGGTATCCCCACCACCCAAAAAATGATCAGAATCAATCTAACAAAATTAGATATTTTTGTCAAAGAGAGAAGGAGAATATTGTAGCCTTTTCAGTTGTAGCATTAGCACACAATATTTGCCTTTAAAACTTCATATATAAAAGGAGTTGGAATTGATGTTCTAGTTTTATATTCAGACATTAAGTTTCAGGGAAATTTATACATAATAATATGATTAATGACGTTTATCTTTGGTATTATAAATTCAGTTTAAAAACCAAATCATAATTATTAGAAAGTCACTATATATCCTCTGTAAATAAAAAAATAATAATTCCAAAATGCTATATTTCCATGCTTTCTACAAGTGGTTTTTTTGTTTGTTTTGTTTTGGTTTGGTTTTGGTACTGGCGATTAAACCAGGGGCGCTTAGCCACTGAGCTACATCCCAGCCCTTTTTATATTTTATTTAGTGCCAAAGTCTCACTAATTGTTTAGAGCCTTGATAAATTGCT